ACTTGTTGGTCAAACGAACAAGACTACCACAGCGTACATACATATATACTTCTGAATTGCGAGGAATTGGCACCTTACGAGAGGTACATAATTATAACCATGTATTATTAAAATTTGATTGAACAGACGAAATGTCCTTAACAATGTTTTAAAATTTCAGCACTTTCGTCAGTCAAGTCCGAGAATGCATTGACGGTGTTTCAGAAGATGAAATTAACAAGCGAAAAGACCAACATTATGCATTGTGGTTAAAAGGTCAAGTCGAGCATGATGACATGACATATGCAGTATGGTTTCATGAGTTGCTCCTAGGTCCTATTTCGAAGATAACTACTGCAGCTATGTATTTCACACGTGGCTATATTTTTCATACTTATAGTCATGGCACTCAACGGGCAACTACAAACTATGGAGTTTGTGTACGAGGTGAAGTAGACATTTATGGGATCATCAAAGAGATAATTGAAGTGGAATACCCCGGATTAGTCAGAATGAAAACTGTTCTATTCAAATGTGATTGGTTTGATCCTACGGTAGGTCGTGGAGTGCGAATTAACAAATTCGGAGTGGTAGATGTAAACGCATCTCGGCGATACAATAAGTTCGAGCCTTTTATACTTGCATCTCAAGCAGAACAAGTCACCTTTGTTCCATATCCTCGAGTTCGGAATACGGGAATTTCATGGCTGGCGGTTGTCAAAGTTGCTCCAAGGGGTATAATTGATGGTGTAGATCTCCCGCCAATGCAACAAGATGATTGTGTAGACATTACAGCACCGGATGTTGAAGAAAATGTTCTTTTAATTGATCCACGTAATCGACAAGTTGAAGATCTACATGGGGACGAAACTGAAGAAGGTGCTGACGAATTTCAAACAAGCAGTGATGATGATGACAATGATGATGAGGACACCGAGGAAAATGTTGATGAAGACTAATTAAATATGTTGACATTTAATTGCATGCTTTGAACGTTTCAATGTAACATTAATTAAAGCCAATTAATGAAAACTAATTAAATGTTGATGAAAATTTGTTAAAGTGTTGACTTGGACATATGTTGACTTTTACGACGAATTTACGACGATTTTTTTGGAATTCGTCGTAAATTCGTCGTAAAATGCAAACCCTAAACCCTATAGGGTTTAGCTTTCCCAACTTACAGAATGGTTTTTGGGTTTATTTTCCTAAGTAAACTGATGTATTATATAAGGGTCTGTAGTATAAGATTCAGGATCTTGTAGAAATGTGGTTTTATTACGACGAATTTACGACGAATGGGTGTTAACGTCGTAAATCCGTCGTAATTTACCATCGAGATTACGACGAATGGGTGTTAACGTCGTAAATCCGTCGTAATATACCATCGAGATTACGATGACATGTAACCCCTAAATCTTATAATCTATCTTTTCTGGAGTTTAGGGGGGATTTTGATGAAGAGAATGAAATGTCTTACCATCTCATAAGGTAAAACAACTTTCTAAACAAAAAAAAAAAAATTTCAAAATTTGACATATATGTGTTTATCAAATAATCTTAAGGTGTTATATACATTTACACAAGATGTATGGATTTATCTTACATCTTACTAAATTCTTCATTAAGTTATGTAAACATGCTAGAAAGTTATACACACCACATTTATCATGAATAGACATGCTTATATGTCCTTATGGAAGTTTCAATTTTTGAATTTCATCAGTTTTGGTATAATTCGTCGTAAATTCGTCGTAATATTACGACGAATTTACGACGATTTGTGGATACACAGCCGTCTTAAATTTTTATGATTTATACGATTCGTCGTAAAATCGTCGTAACATTACGACGATTTTACGACGAATAACACGGATCATCGTAAAATCGTCGCAAAGCCCAGATACAGCCACGTGTGTTTGTCTTATTCGCTTTGTTATACGGTGGGACCTTTGCGACGAATTTACGACGGATTCGTCGTAAATTCGACGTAACTATTTACGACGAATATAAATTCTATATATAGGACCTCACCCCTTCCTCATTTCGTCGCTTATCTCTCCTTCCTCTCTCTTTGCTTCGTCCCCTCTTGCATTCCTCCTCTTTTTGACGCAAAAAAAGGTAATTATTTTTTTTTAATTACTTTAAATTATTTATTATTAAATAGTTTAGAAATTCAAACGGTTTAGGTCGGGAATTAGTTTAGGCTCGGAATTTGTTAGATTTAGGATCGGAATTTCTTAGATTTAGGATCGTAATTAAAAATTAATTGTAATTAACTTGAAAAATAAAATTTTATCGGTTTTGCAGACGATGACTCGACGGAGGACGCATTACATCAATTTCATGGCGGACGGACACTCTTCCCGGGCGTCTGCCTCGGGAAACACCGGGACCGATGTCCCTTCATCTTCCGGAGCCTCCCAGGTTCCGAATACCGCGGAGCCGTCTCCACCACCGCCTCCACCATCATCTCCACCACCACCTCCACCGCCGGCTGCCGAACCGGTACCCGCTCCTCCTCATCCGTATGCCCAGTTTACGGTTGAGGATTTACTAGCCCTACCGGGACGGGGGGCTTTACGACGTCTGGTTCCCGGAAAAGCGGAACCGGGCTCTTATTGGTAAGTAAACTTTTTAGTTTTTTATATTTTTTTAAATTAATGTTTTAATTTACTTAAATATTAATGTAATAAGTTTTTTTTTGTTTCATAGGTTTAGTTTGGATAATTGTGTCGGTCGGAGCGTTTCCGACACAATTAAGAGTCATTTCGTGGAGCCACACTACAATTGGAGCAAGGTGTCGCAAGAGACGTTCGACACCTGGTACAAGTGCTTTGCGGTACGTAATATTTTTTAAATATTATTTATATCATTTTAAATTGTAGTAAAATTCAATTAATCTTACTTTTATATTATTTATCTAATTTTTTGTTTTCTTTTGCAGCAACGGTGGAACTGGGACATCGGGATCAACAAGACGGTCCGCGAAGCTTTCCGGCTGAAGGCGCAGAAACGCCTAGTCAACACCGTTTCCGATTGGAAGCGGAAATGGGAGATCGACGGCGACGACGCAAAGCCGAGCTCCATGTCCACTACCTGTTGGAACGGGTTGAAGGCGTACTGGCTGGACCCGCATGCCCAAACCACCGCTGCTAAGTGTTCGGCCGTCCAAAACCGGGTCGATCTGGTGACTGGTGAGAAGTTAGTGACCCCGCACACTTCTGGCCAAATATCTTTTGCGGGAAGATGTCTCATGATAGTAAGTAATTATTATTTTAATTTAATTTTATTTATTGCTATAATTTATTAAATATTTTTCACTAATGTTTACTAATTCGTAGGCCGAGGAGAACGGAGGAGAACTACCTCCAATGACGAAGCTCTTCGAGACCACTCACCGGAAGAGGGACGGGACCTTTGTCGACGCTCGGTCCGAGGAGATCTACAATGCCGCTATGCAGCGGATCGCCGAGCGGGAGACCCAGGCCACACCTGACGGTACTATCCAAGTACCGTTGACCGTCGCTGAGCAAGACCAGATTTTCGAGGAGGTATGATCTATTTCAATTTTTTTTAAAATTTATTATATTTATTACTTAATAAATAATTAACGTTTTTATTTTCTATTTGTAGGTTGCTCCGAAGAAGAAGGGCCGAAGCTTAGGGATGGGCTCTATTAGAGACTGTCCTGCCGCCTCGGCTTCCGGATTCCGCACGCAGGAGTATCCGAGTCAGCTTCGCCAGGAGCTTGCTACGGCCAATGCTGAGATCACCACTCTCAGGCATGAGCAAGTGGCCCAGAAGCAGGAGCTCACCGAGATGCACGGTCTCTTCGATATCATTGCGGAAGCGGTTCCGCAGTTGGCCACCGCAATCCGAGCGAGGCAACAGCGAGCACGAGGGGTCTTTGAGACCGGTGGTACTTCCGGTACTGGACCATCGGACCAGCAGACGCAGGGTCAGTCTTCGGCTCCGGTAGTGCAGACGGGAAACGACGGTCCAGCAGCGACGGGCGGCCAAGACGGAGAGCCTCCTCGTGACGTCGATCTGAACCTCGACGATTACGAAATCACATTGTAGATTAGGTTTTTTTGTAAAAAACAATTTGTATTAAATTTTTTTTTATTTATAAATTATTTTTGAATTTAAATTGTTTTTTTTCTATTTTTAATTTTTTATTATTTTCAAAATTCATTAATTAAATTAAAATCGAATTAAATATTTAATTTATAAATCGACGTAAATTCGTCGTAAATTTACGTCGATCTAACGTCGAATATTTAACGACAAATTTACGTCGAATAAGTTTACGTCGAATAAGTTTACGTCGAATTTACGTCGAAAATTTACGACGATTTAACATCGACAATTAAAAAATTAGTTTCCTTTAATTGAAATTGTTCGTCTCCTAATCGTTGTTAAATCGATGTAATTTAGCATCGATTTTACGTCATTTTTATGTTGGAGTTCTTTCGTTGTACTTCCGTTGGAAATTTTACGTCGCATTTACGACGAATAGTTTCCGACGATTTTACGACGATTTTACGACGATTTTGGTTTTACGACGATCGTTTTACGACGAATTTTTTTTCGTCGTTAATTCGACGTAAATGCTGTTTTACGTCGATTTTACGTCGATATATGCCGACGTAAAACCCGATCTTTCTTGTAGTGTAGATTATAGAAATCACAAATCATCTATAAAGACATGACATAGATAGTTAAACATAATTAAAAGAGGGTTGGCCAATTTGATATTAACTAGAATATATGTTTCTGCATCTCAAAGGTCAACCCTCTTATATAAAGACATGACATACATAGTTAAACATAACTAATAGAGGGTTAGACATATAATATAGCTTTTATAAAGACATGACAGATCAAACTGAGATATGACATTTATATAAGCTACAACTTGGTTAATGATTAAACCAAAATCATAATTATAGATATAAAAGTTTTATACAGTTTTGGGTATTTACAGTTCCAATTCATTCTCCCACAAAGCCACAAAACAATCAGAAACCCTCAAAAACATATTAAGAACAGTATGGGTTCAGAAAAAACTATTGACTGCCCATCCGTGAAACACCCAAGTCACAATCATCCGCTGTGGGTCTTCAAATCCCAAGAAGAAGATGAGATCATTTGCTCTGGATGCGAGCTTGACCTCACCGGACAAGCTTTCAAGTGTATGAAGAAAGACTGCGATTACTTTTTGCACAAGTCATGTTTCGACCTACCTGGTGAAATTACTCACAAGTCTCATCCTGACCACCCTTTAACTCTGCTTTATTCCCCACCTTATGGTCAGTCTTATGGGTGTAATGCGTGTGGTGAATTGGGATCCGGATTCACTTACAACTGCTCTGAGTGCCAGTACGATGTTCATGTGGGATGTGCTTTTATCCCCGAGACCGCGGAGCCTGAAGATCATGAACACCCACTCACTCTCCTTTACAACACACCATGCAAAGGTCGTGAGGATGGTGTTATGTTCATATGTGATGTTTGTGAAGAAGATATGTCGGAGGATCTTTGGGTTTATTACTGCAAAGAATGTGATTATGGGACGCATGTGCAATCTTGCGAGGCATCAAAGTTGAATTCGTTGATATTAGCTAATTATGCGATGACCGGGATGCATCTCCAAAGAAGTAGGAATGCGATCAATAATTCTATAATGAATTTACGGGGATGATCGGGATGCTCAGCATCAGAGAAATGTTGGTCGATTGAATGAATAAATTTGAAACAATGATGAACTTAGTGATTGTTCTTTCTTTTGAGAGTTTTTTTTTTTCCATGTGAGTTGAAGTGTTTGTTTTTTTGTTTCATGTAGCTTTACTTTTAATTTGAATTTAAGAATAATAAGCTGATTAATAATATGAATTCCTTTAATTAATTACTATTGGAACAATTTTTAAAGCTAGTTTACTTTATACAAATGTGTGTAAATTAAAACAAGTTTTTTGGGCTAAGTGAAAAAACGCTTGAATTGGCTAACTTAAATAAGGGACATGTCAAAAGCCTCACATTGAAAGTTTTGAAAAATTTAGAGTAATATAAATAAAACTTTAGTTTGATTAAGTTATCGAGTATCGTAGAATTTAGTTTGATAAATCTGTTATCAAGGGATTCTGGTTATTATGAATTTGGTTTTGTTTCATATTCTCTGTTTAGCTTTTGGTTTGGTGAGATATTTTGTTGATGCCTTGTCCTTATCAGTTATGTGTCTTATTCTTCACCTAGGTAAAGGGAGAGAGAGTATAAATAGGAAATACAAAGAAGAATAAATCATTTCTTTATTAAAAGCATTAACTTAACCAGAGAATCCTTTATGGTGGTTCAGTTTCAACTACTTAGATATGGAGAGAGATCCGTTAGAATCTCATGGGTTTGTTTGAAGTGAGAGGACAAAAAAAAAACAGTATCGTGTAAAGAAAATCTTCAAAATTCTTAAAATATTTCCCTATTTAATTTCTCAAATTATCCAAGCATTTTGTAGTTCCCACTTCCCAACATTAAATGTAATCTCTCATTTATCTACAGCTAAACTCAATTTTCTGTTCGCATTTACAAACCACCACCTAATTTTTCGATCATGCAGATTTTGAGATCCGTAGTTGCGCAGGTATAACGTCAAAAAGAGTATAATTATTGATTAATATTACGTTTGTTCTTTGGACTTTCTTCGAGCGATCGATTGATGAAAGTAATACACAGTGTTACCGTAGAGGGAGATCGCTTGGGATCGCCAATCTTGCAATTTCTCTTCATCAACTTGTACCAATGGTAACGTTCTCTGTTTTCACATTTAGATCTATTAAAACTCACTAGCGTTACTTATTGGATTTCATGTATGTGTATTCGGATTTTTTATTATCTTATTTTTTCTTTTCTTTTTAATTGTAGAGTGGAAGCGAGAAAGTCCGAAAGCTGGAGACTGGTTATAGGGTGGCTTTTGTATGTATCAATTTTTTTTTTTTTTTGCATTCCCTTCTTTTTCGACGAATTAGTCAGCTTTGTGAATATCGTTTGCATGTTTTAAGGTGTTTTGCTGTCCTGCAAATTTCTGCAACTAGGGGGAATGATGCTAGAGATGGATGTGTATGAAGGTAAAAAAGCAAAATCAAGAAGAAGATTGTTACCATATTATATATATATATATATATATATATATATATTTGTGCTTATTCTTTCTCATCTTCATTTTCTTTGTGTGCTTCAGAGATTGCAGCCAAGGAGGGAAAAAAAGTGGCGTTTAGTACGTATATCAGTTATTTCGGGAAAAGTACATTTACTCCGATGTACTACGATGATGAACTCGGTCGTTATGTAGAAGAAGCCTAATTAATCTGCCTTTGGTTTATGTTCTGAAGAATAAAGTAGCTTCATATTGATTCATCTGTCTTTACAGTCTCTTGACTTGTTCTAAGTATAATAAGTCTTGCTTCCGATTCTTTAGGAAACAAGTACAGTATATTTAAGAGACCAGTTTGTTCTGTTTTCAGTATTTATCGATAGATTTGGCTTATGTTATGTAAATGATTACTCTATTTTGATATTTATAACTATTTTAGGATTAACCTAATTTCATATCTTTGCTTGAAGAACACATTTCTTGTATACTAACTATTGCAAAAGTAAACAACCATTTTATGTTTTTCTTCCTTATTCTTATTGAAAGATATATTTATTTATAACAAAATAAGACAAACACAAACTCATCATTAGGGCCTACTCATCATAATATGGACATATATATATATGGAAATTACATAATCTGTAAACCGATACAAATCATTAAACATTTTGACAACTTTCTAAAGTTTCGATTGATAATATCTTTATATATAATATAGAAAATATTAATGTTTGATTACTGTTCAAAGAGAAAACATTTTTGTAGTTAATTAATTAAAGCTTGGAGACGATCCATTTCCGTTGTTTTGGATATGACAGCTTCTACATTTATACGGTTTCCACCTCCCAAAAGTCAATTCATAGAAGAAATCAGAATAAACTGAACAAGTGTGTGTTTTAGCAAAAAAGTGTGTTTAGCACTAATGATAAGAACTTTCAAACTTTGAATAAACACTGTGTACCGTTCTCATTTGTTTGAAATGAAACTATGTGACGTTTCCGGCTTACAGAAGAGCCGTGTTCGTTACTATGGATATGAGGGCTTCTTCCATCTTCCAAACAAAAGATATTTTATATGTTGCGTGTGTTGTAGCACCAACTAACGCTATATACTTAAAAAGCTTTCTCTTAGATTCAAGTAAAGAATTTTCTGTTACCATTTCCATCTTTTCAAACTTGATTTCGAAATGGAACCTATCACCGTTTCAAGGCTCAGATTTGACGTGTTTCTAAGTTTCCGAGGCCAAGACACTGGCCAAAACATCACAAGGCGTCTCTATGAGACGCTCAACAACAAGGAAAACGTCCGGGTTTTCTGCGGTAACGACGGTATGAAACGTGGGGACGAGATCGGTACAAGTCTTGAGGCAGCAATGGAGGACTCGGCGACCTCTGTCATCGTCTTATCCCGGAACTACGCTAACTCTCACTGGTGCCTAGATGAACTAGCTATGCTCTGCGATCTGAGAGCATCTCTGAATCGTCCGATCATACCCATCTTTTATATGGTCGATCCAAGACATTTTAGGACACGGAATGGTACTTTCGAGATGGATTTTGAAGAGCACTCGAAAAGTTTTAGCAAAGAGAAGATACAGAAATGGAGGAGAGCCATGAATCTAGTCGGAAACATCTCTGGATTTGTTTACAGGTATGACTCCAATATGGCAATATCTTTATAATCTCTAGTCTCATATTCAGATACTTTGATACAAACATCTCATCTAAATTTTTTTGAAGCATTCATTTCATGCGGCTAGTTGTTCTCTGATTATCTTCGATAAGACATGGTCTCCAACACTAGAAATATTTATTGATCTACATTTTTCTCTTTTTTATTCCAAGCTTGAATCTTTCTGTTTTTTTTTCTGGGATCTTCAAGTTTCTTGAGAATGGTTCCTTGTTTCCTTTCCTATTACTCATCATCCTTGTCTCTCTTGCTTCTCAAGCAACATGCTCTGTTTCTTTTTAAGCAAGAACTAGAGCATTTACAAAAAGTCTAGAACCCTCTCCTTGAACCTGTGACTTTCACTCACATATTCTTATGTCAGTGAAACACTCTCATTCTTGAAGAGTCTTTGAAAACCTCCATCTCTCTTACTTATCTGTTAACTCCGACAGTAACTCAATTTTCTTCAAACCATAAATTTCAAATTTCAATGGACAATGGGTACTTAAATCAATAAATAAGCTTACGGTAAAGTAAAAAAACGAGTCAAGTGATTTTAACACTGGCTGATAGGGCTGGAATTATTATCCGGTATCCGGTATCCGATCCGGTATTCGGTCCTATCCGATCCGTAAAAACCAAATATCCGTTCGGATCTGGACCCGGATAGTGAAATTAAGTATTCGTTTATTTCGGATACGGATCCGGATAATAGAAAATTTTGAAACCGGATATCTGTTATCCGTTTGTTAAATATTTATTTATTTTTAATAATATTTAATCATTTTTAAAAACTAACTTTAGATTTTTTTTTGTTTAACTCTTTTACATATGATTGAAATTCATATTGTGTGATAAATTTCTATTTTAGATTATGAAACAAGAACATGAAAATGGATAACATATGATAAATTAACTTGTTTATTAGTATTTTTTGTTATGTAAACTTTATGCTATTTGAATGCTATTTGAATGTTTTTAAAATTTTGCTATTTGTAACTTGATATGATAATATATTTTAATTATCTATGTTATTTCATTATAATTTTTAAAAATTAAAGATTTTGTTGAGGTTTGGACTAAATCTTATCATTGCTTAGTTAAGATAAGTCTAGCTCTTAGTTAATGAAACAGGGTATGATACACTTGGTTAAGCTGGTTAACGCTAAATTGAGGGTTATCATATATTCTTGGTTTACTTAGTCCGATTATATTTTGTAAGGCCTTAAGTATAAAAGGTCATCATTAACCGAGTTTGTTAGATCGTCTTCTTTATATCGTCAAACAGTTGGTGTGCGAGTCTTGTAGAGCTTCTCTGTTCTTGAGAACTTGATTCCTCGGTGTTAGTGGATTTGCTGGACTGAGTCTGGCCCCAGAGACGTAGCTTACCATATCGGTGGTGAACTCTGGGTAATCAAAAACTGTGTGCTCCTGTTTTACAATTCTGTTCCTTACGTTCATTTTCTTGCGAATTGGATCGAGAGTGAAAGCTGAGTGAGTGAGTTAGGTTAAGTCGTATTCAGATTCTGAGGCTTCGGCGCATCAATTGGTATCAGAGCTTCGGTTTGCTCTCAAGATGACGACGATAACAACGACTCGGCACGAAGTAGTTTGTTTCGATGGCACCGGTGATTTCTCGATGTGGACCACAAGGATGATGGCTCACTTCGGCGTCGCGGGATTGAAGGATGTGATCCTCAGTGACGATTTCGAGATTACAGTCCCATTGTCTAAGGCTGAGCTCAAGAAAGGAGCCGAAGCAGATCCTGCAACAGGATCGGTCCAAGAAACTAAGGTAATCACTGATCCTGCAAAGTTAGAAAAGGACGAACGTGCGAAGGATATGATCATAGTGAACATAAGTGATCAGGTTCTCAGAAAGATAAAACACTGCACTACTGCTGCTTCCATGTGGTCTTTGTTGGAGAAGTTGTATATGTCTAAGTCTCTGCCAAATCGAATCTTCGTTCAATCTCAGTTCTATACCTTTAGATGCGATAGTTTGAAGCCGATTGATTCAAATGTTGATGAATTCCTCAAGATCGTTGCTGAGATGAATAGCCTAGATGTTAACGTTACTGATGAGATTCAGGCTATAGTTTTCTTGAATTCGCTTCCAACGACCTATGATCAGTTACAACATACCTTAAAGTATGGAAAGGAATCTATATCTTTGGAAGAGGTGATTTCAGCAGCAAAGTCAAAGCAAAGAGAAATGTCAGAGACGTGAAAGACATCTACAGGATCCGGGAGTGCTCTCTACACAAATGACCGTGGCAGACAGCAAAAGCGTGACTCAGGTGACAATCGCACAAGCAGAAATAGGAGTAAATCCAAGAATGGCAGGAAGGTTACCTGCTGGTACTGTAAGAAGGAAGGACATGTTAAAAAGGACTGTTTCGGAAGGAAAAAGAAACTGGAGCTTGAAGGAGATGGAGAAGCAGCAGTCGTTATCGATCAGATTGAGGCAGAGAAAAGTGTTTTGAATGCTTCTGTGGATGATCCCAGCAACACATGGGTTATTGATTCAGGTTGTACTCATCACATGACCTCGAGACGAGATTGGTTTGTGGAGTTTGAAGAGAGGACGTCTAGTAGAATCCTCCTCGGTGACTTCCACTCAGTTCAGGCTCAAGGGATCGGTACGGTAAGGCTGGATACTCAGGGTGGAACAGTCAAGCTGATGAAAAATGTTAGGTATGTTCCAAGTTTGAGAAGGAATCTCATATCTACGAGCACCTTGGACCAGTTGGGGTTTGTTCACTCTGGTGGGAATGGGAAGATAAGTTTTCACAAGAACAACAAGCTAGCCCTGAAAGGAACATTAATAAACGGTCTCTACATCTTAGACGGTAAGACGATTACAGAGGAATCGTGTCAGGTGGAGGGAGCAGGGTCAAAAATGTCCATTTGGCATAGCCGGTTAGGTCACATGAGTTACAAGAACATGCAATCCCTGGTCAAAAAAGGTGTCTTAAAGAAGACTGAGGTGGGAAGAGAAGGGTTCTGCGAGCACTGTATAATGGGGAAATCCAAAAGAGTAAGCTTCGAGACAGGTAAACATGACACAAAAGCAATTCTTGATTATGTGCATGCCGATCTATGGGGTTCTCCAAGTGTTCCACCGTCTCTCTCAGGTAGTAAATACTTTCTATCCATAATAGATGACTTCTCTAAAAAGGTATGGGTCTGGTTTCTAAAGTCTAAAGATGAAACTTTCTCCAAGTTTTGTGAATGGAAATCCTTAGTTGAAAACCAGGTTGATCGAAAGGTAAAATGTCTAAGGACAGATAATGGACTTGAATTTTGTAATAATACCTTTGATGAGTTTTGCAGAAAACATGGCATTGAAAGACATAGAACCTGTGCCTACACTCCACAGCAGAATGGAGTAGCCGAGAGGATGAATCGGACTATTATGGAGAAGGTTCGTTGCTTGCTAGATGAATCAGGTCTAGGCGAAGAATTCTGGGCCGAAGCTGCAGCAACATCTGTTTACACTATAAACAGGTCACCAACAGCGTCAATCAACCTTAAGTCTGCTGAAGAGGTTTGGATTGGTAAGAAACCTGGTTATAAACATATGCGAAAGATTGGTTCTATTGTTTATGTTTATGCAGATCAGGGAAAGTTGAAGCCGCGTGCTCTCAAAGGAATATTTGTTGGTTATCCTATGGGACAAAGGATACAAGGTTTGGCTTCTTGAAGATGAGAAGGTTACAGTGAGCAGAAATGTGAAGTTCCATGAGGAGCAAGTTTACAAAGATCTCAAAGGTGTTAAAACCACTGACTCCATCAACAGGCATGATGTCACCAAAGAGTTAACTGAGTTTGAAGTTCAAGGAGATGCACATGGTTCGGAAGGTACTGATCAAGGTGGAGCATCTCAAGGTTTTTCTAGTGACAACGAAGATGATGAGCCACATTTGGAGTCAAGTGGTGGAGTCAGATCAAGTCTCGAGAATTATCAGCTGGCAAGGGATCGAACAAGAAGAGTCATTGTCCCACCAGCAAAATATCAAGACTATGATTGTGATGAAGAGGAGATTATGTTTGCTCTCTCAGTGGCTGAGTCAATGAATATTGAGGAACCAAAAGATTTTACAGAAGCTCAGTCAAGCAGAGATTGGCATCTGTGGAATGGTGCAACAGACGAGGAAATGGATTCCCTACAGAAGAACAAGACATGGGTATTAGTTGACAAACCGAAGGATAGGAAGATTATTGGATGTCGATGGTTGTTTAAGGTGAAGCCAGGAATAGAAGGAGAACATGATCGGTTCAAAGCCCGTCTAGTTGCTAGGGGTTTTACACAGAGGGAGGGCATTGACTATCAAGAAGTCTTTGCCCCAGTGGTAAAACATGTTTCTATTAGAGTTTTGTTATCTCTAGTAGTGAATCTTGACCTGGAACTGGAGCAGATGGACGTGAAGACTGCGTTTCTTCACGGAAACCTTGAGGAGGATCTCTACATGCATCAGCCTGAAGGGTATGTGGATCCAAAGAACAAGGATAAAGTTTGTTTGCTCAAGAAGTCTCTCTATGGCCTAAAACAGTCTCCAAGGCAATGGAACAAGAGATTTGATCAGGTTATGTTAGCTCAAGGTTTCAGCAGGAGTGAGCATGACTTGTGTGTATATACAAAAGAGGTATCACACGACAATTACATATATATTTTACTATATGTTGATGACATGTTGTTGGCCGCAAGAGACATGTCAGATATTAATCAGCTGAAGGAGTGTCTGAGTTCAACCTTCGAGATGAAGGACTTAGGTGCTGCAAGAAGAATTCTTGGTATGGATATTTACAGAGACAGAGTTCAAGGTACCTTAAGGCTGTCTCAGTCGAAGTATCTGGAAAAGGTGGTTGAGAATTTCCGAATGAATGGAGCAAAGATATCTCAAACCCCTATAGGTGCACACTTCAAGCTGTCTGCAGTCAGAGATGAAGATGAGTGCATTGACACTGAGGTAACTCCTTATGCCTCAGCTGTAGGTAGCATAATGTACGCTATGATAGGTTCTAGACCGGACTTAGCGTATGGAATTGGCCTCATAAGTAGATTTATGAGTAGACCAGGCAAGATTCACTGGGAAGCTGTAAAGTGGTTACTTCGATATATCAAAGGATCAATAGGTGTTCATTTGGTATATCGTAAAGGAAATGATTTGCAGATTCAAGGGTTCTGTGACTCTGATTATGCTGCTGACTTAGATAGGAGGAGATCTATTTCGGGTTATGTATTTACGGTGGGTGGAAATGTCGTGAGCTGGAGATCGTGTTTGCAACCTGTAGTTGCATTATCGACGACGGAAGCTGAGTATATCTCATTGACCGAAGCTGTCAAAGAAGGTATATGGCTAAGGGGTCTTCTCGAAGATTTTGGTTTCAAACATGGAGCAGTAAAGGTTTGGTGCGACTCGCAAAGTGCTATCTGTCTCTCGAAGAACAGTATGTTTCATGAGCGTACTAAGCATATAGCCGTCAAGTACTATTTCATCAGAGACATTATCGCCGATGGTGAGGTTGAAGTACTCAAGGTTCATACAAGTAGAAACCCCGCGGACATCTTGACAAAGGTAGTCCCTGTATCCAAGTTTAAGTCTGCATTAGACTTACTTGGTGTGGCTCAAGCATAAGTGATGAGATGAGTCAGCCAGATGGTGTTAAGTCCAGAAGGTGAATCCACAGGAGAGCCCAAGTTGAATGATGAAGGTGTACACTGACTTATGATAAGATGTATCCAAGGTGGAGAATGTTGAGGTTTGGACTAAATCTTATCATTGCTTAGTTAAGACAGGTCTAGCTCTTAGTTAATGAAACAGGGTATGATACACTTGGTTTAAGCTGGTTAACGCTAAATTGAGGGTTATCATATATTCCTGGTTTACTTAGTCCGGTTATATTTTGTAAAGCCTTAAGTATAAAAGGTCATCATTAACCGAGTTTGTTAGATCGTCTTCTTTATATCGTCAAACCGTTGGTGTGCGAGTCTTGTAGAGCTTCTCTGTTCTTGAGAACTTGATTCCTTGGTGTTAGTGGATTTGCTGGAGTGAGTCTGGCCCCAGAGACGTAGCTTACCATATCGGTGGTGAACTCTGGGTAATCAAAAACTGTGTGCTCCTGTTTTACAATTCTGTTCCTTACGTTCATTTTCTTGCGAATTGGATCGAGAGTGAAAGCTGAGTGAGTGAGTTAGGTTAAGTCGTATTCAGATTCTGAGGCTTCGGCGCATCAGATTTTTTTTAAATCAACAAAACCGAATATCCGGTCGGATATCCGTAAATATTCGGTTCAAACCGGATATTCGGATTTTTCGGATCTGGATCCGGATAATAAAACTGATTATCCGATGAATCCGGATCTGGATCCGGATACTTTGAAAAGTGTGGATATTCGGCTCCCTTCCATGTAAGACGATAAAAAAGAAGAAGGTGATTTAACACGGGGTGTCGTTCTGATATGCAATAGCCATGGAACTGCGTGACGTTTTATGTTGGTCCTACACTTGAAAGTCAATGCGATAATTTTGTTTTACAAGAGAAGGAAATAGAATAGAATCTGGAAATTGGCATTTTCTAGTGATTCCCAAAATCGAGAGCTTCGTTCTCTTCCTCTAGCCAAGAGACTTTGTCGATCGCTGTCGCTAAATGGATCGCCGTCGCTTGAAGGGTGAGCTGAAGAAGGAGAGAGTCGAAGATAATTGCGAAGCCGATCAAGAGTCGACTGCCATGAACTGACCGAAGGAGAGGAGATCCGAGTTGACTTTTGGTCAGCAGCTTCCGAATTCGCTATTCGAGCTTCTCTAGTTAGCCAATGACTGATATGGATGCGTAGAATCAGAAGCTAAGCTTCACGGAGAAGAGGAAGATCGGGAGATGGAGACTGAGGTTGTTTCGAAGCCGCATAGGCTCAAGTTTGACGTCTTCCTCAGTTTCCGAGGCGAAGACACGCGCGGCAACATCACGAAGCGTCTCTACGAGGCGCTTAACGAGAAGGAAAAGATCCGAGTCTTTTTCGACAACGACGGTATGAAAAAAGGGGAAGAGGTCGATCCAAGTCTCGTCGCAGGCATGGAGGACTCGGCTGCCTCCGTCATCATCTTATCCCCTAAGTATGCTGATTCTCACTGGTGCTTAGATGAATTAGCTATGCTCTGCGACCTGAAGAAATCTCTGAATCGTTTGATGATACCCATCTTTTACATGGTCGATCCCTCGAATGTCCGCAAACAGAATGCTCATTTCGCCAAGGATTTTGAAAATCACGCGAAAAGATTTAGCGAGGAGAAGATACAGCGATGGAAGCGAGCAATGACTTTAGTCGGAAATCTCTCCGGATTTGTTTGCAAGTAGGACTCCATATCTCTTCTCTATTTTCCTTCCTTATGAAGTGAATTTAAGATGAGACTGCTTTTTGTTGAACTTGTGTATTTTTATTTTGTAGGGAATTTGGCAATTTGTTGAACTTGTTTAATTTTATTTTATAGGGAGTTTGGTAAAGACGACTCAGCTGATGATGAGATGATAGAGCTTGTGGTGAAAAGGGTTTTAGAAGAAGTGAGAAATACACCAGAAAATGTGGGAGAATTCACGGTTGGGCTCGAATCACGTGTCGACAGTTTGACGAATCTGTTTGACATTGACTCCAATTCTGGTGTTCAAGTCCTGGGACTTTACGGTATGGGTGGTATTGGGAAGACGACTCTTGCTAAAGCTTTCTATAACAAGATTGTGGGAAGTTTCAAGCAACGAGTTTTCATCTCAAACGTTAGAGAAGGGTCATCAGACCAAGATGGCTTAGTCAATCTTCAGAAAACATTCATCAAGGAACTTTTCCGTTTGGTAACTGAAATAGAAGATGTTAACAGAGGCCTTGAAAAGATAAAAGAAAATGTTGCTGAGAAGAAGATTCTTGCGGTTTTAGATGATGTTGATAAGGTAGACCAGGTTAATGCCCTGATTGGTGAAACGAGATGGTATGGTGAAGGAAGTCTTATAGTCATTACTACCAGAGATTCTGGGATTCTGAGTAAGCTCTCAGTGAACCAACAGTATGAGGTCAAGTGCTTGACTGAGATGCAGGCGTTGAAGCTGTTTAGTTATCATTCACTACGAAAAGCAAAACCAACAGCTGGTTTATTGGAGTTGTCGAAAATGATGGTCGAGATGACCGGACTGTTGCCACTGGCTGTTAAAGTGTTTGGTTCTCTTTTGTATGACAAGGAGAAAGAGGAATGGCAAGCTCTACTGGAGAAGCTGAAAAATTCCCAACCAAACAAGCTTCATGGTGTTCTGGCCCTGAGTTTCGAGTCTTTAGACGATGAAGAAAAGAAAATATTTCTCGACATTGCGTGTCTCTTTATGATAATGAAGATAACAGAAGAAGAAGTTGTCGACGTGCTAAAAGGATGTGGGCTAAACGCTGAGGCTGCTCTCAGTGTCCTCAGACAGAAATCTCTCGTTGAGATCAAGGCAGACGATACTATCTGGATGCATGATCAAATTAGAGACATGGGTAGGCAGATGGTCCGTAAAGAAAACGATGAGGATCCTGGAATGCGAAGTAGACTCTGGGATCGTGGTGAAATTATGAATGTATTGAACAATATGAAGGTATTTACATTCTACCAATTATATATCATATGTATTAACTTACATTCTCATGATCCTTTGTTCTGTAATGGGATGACAGGGAACAACATCCATCCGAGGAATCGTACTTGACTTCAACAAGAAGTTTCCTAGTGACCCGACTGCAAATGAAATTGCATCCAGGAATCTACACAAAAATCCTGGCAAATTCTCTGTGTTAAATTACTTGAAGAATAAACTTGTAAAATTCCCAGCAGAGGAAAAGCCAAAAAGTTCTGGAATCACCATTCCCGTAGAGTCTTTTGTACCAATGACGAAGTTGAGACTTCTTCAGATTAATAACGTGGAACTGGAAGGAAATCTTAAACTCCTCCCATCTGAACTCAGGTGGATACAGTGGAAAGGTTGTCCATTAGAAAATCTCCCCCCAGATTTTCTTGCTCGGCAACTTGCTGTTCTTGATCTTTCAGAGAGTAGAATAAGAAATATCCCGAGTTTCTGTAGTAAAAATGTAAGCTTTTTTTTTTCATACAGCATAAGGAAGTATATTGTTTTATGCTAAAGTCTCACTGCTAAAACATTTCTCTCTGTCTTTCAGGTGGATGTGAATTTGAAGGTTGTAAATTTGCGTGGTTGCCATAGCTTAGAAGCCATTCCTGATTTATCAAATCATAAAGCCCTAGAGAAGCTTGTTCTGGAGCGATGCAAGCTTCTGGTGAAGGTTCCTACATCAGTTGGTAATCTTAAAACATTGCTTCACCTGGACTTCAGAAACTGTTTGAACCTTGCTGAATTTCTTGTTGATGTTTCTGGACTGAAGCATGTTGAAAAACTTTTCCTCTCTGGCTGTTCAAATCTGAGTGTGTTACCAGAAAATATTGGTGCCATGACATGCTTGAAAGAGCTTCTACTTGATGGAACAGCAATAAATAACTTGCCGGAATCTATATACCGCCTCCAAAAGCTTGAGGAGCTTAGTCTAAAGGGTTGCAGATCTATTCAAGAGCTACCTATGGGCATAGGAACGTTAACATCACTGGAGAAGCTATATCTTGATGATACTGCATTGAAAAACCTTCCGAGTTCTATAAAATATCTGAAACATCTCAAGAAGTTGCATTTAGGACGCTGCAGATCCCTTTCTGAGATTCCGGACACTATCAATGAGCTTAGATTATTGAAGGAATTTTTCATTAACGGAAGCGCGGTGGAGGAGCTACCTGCTATAAAATCAGGCTCACTGCCATGTTTAACTGACTTTTCAGCAGGAGAATGCAAATATCTGAAACAGGTTCCGAGTTCAATTGGTGGACTGAGTTCTCTTCTCCAACTTCAGTTGAATAGTACCTTAATTGAAACTCTACCAAAAGAGATTGGTGACTTGCATTTCATTCGCAAACTTGAGTTAAGAAACTGCAAATTTCTGAAGTTTTTGCCTGGATCAATCGGAGATATGGACACACTCCAAAGCTTAGACCTTGAAGGCTCCAACATTGAGGAACTACCCGAAGAGTTTGGCAAGCTTGAAAAGCTAGTCACACTCCGAATGAACAAGTGTGAAATGCTCAAGAAGCTTCCTGAATCATTTGGAGACCTGAAATCTCTTCGCTATCTATACATGCAGGAAACTTTGGTGGTAGAGCTGCCACAAAGCTTTGGAAACCTGTCAAATCTAACGGTATTGAAAATGCTTAAAAGGCCTCTTTTTAGAAGTTTTGGGGGTGGTGCTCCAGGTACAAGCAAAGAATTACCAAAATCTTTCTCAAAACTCGTGTCGCTCGAGGAACTGAATGCGTGCAGTTGGGGAATATCTGGTAAAATTCCAGATGCTTTTGAGAAGCTTTCGTCTCTAAAGATACTGTATCTTGGGAATAATTATTTTCACAGTCTTCCGGCTAGCCTGAAGAAGTTATCAAGTCTCAAAGAACTTTCATTGTATGACTGCCGAGAGCTCAAGTGTATTCCTCCTCTCCCATGTAAACTAGAGCAGCTAAACCTGGCAAACTGCTTGTCATTGGAGAGTGTATCCGACCTTTCAGAGCTGACAGTCTTGCACGAGCTCAATCTCACAAACTGTGAGAAAGTGAATGATATCCCAGGCCTAGAGAAAGTGACGGCTTTGAAACGATTATACATGAGTGGATGTAACTCTACATGCTCCCGTGAAGTTAAGAAAAGACTTTCCAAGGTGATTATCTCAGAATCTCAATTAGTTGAATCTCAGCGTGTGTTAACAAAATTTGCCTGCAATCTTTTGAATTCTCTCTGCAGGCTTCTTTGAAAATGATCCGGAATCTCAGCTTGCCTGGAAACAGAATCCCGGACTGGTTTTCACAAGGCCCTCTCACATTCTCAGCTCAACCGAACAGAGAGCTCAGAGGTGTAATATTGGCTGTTGTTGTGGCTCTTAACCATGAAAATAAAGATGATTACCAGCTGCCTGATGTGATGGAGGTTCAAGCCCAAATTCTCGACATTGATCACGTCGCGTTTTACACCCACACGTTACACCTTTGTGGAGTGCCCATAACAAGTAATGATCAACTCCACATCTGCCGATACCCAGCTTTGCATCCAATGGTTAGGTCGTTTAAAGACGGGTACACCATTCAAGTGATCAAACGAGAACCACCATACAAACCAGGCGTTGAACTAAAGATGCATGGGATTCATCTGGTTTACGAGGGCGATGATGATATTACAGAAGAAGAACGTTTCTTAAACGAGACACAGCAAACCGTTTCGCAGAAACTTGCCAATTTTTTCAGCTCCTTCAAAGAAGAAGGCGATGCTACTGTAACATGATTTGCTACAGAGAGTCAAAAGTGTCCTGCTCAGTACTCCAACAAATGGTACTCTCTCCCTCTTTCTGATGTATATGAAACAAGCATCCCCACTATAGTAACATGCCCATTGTTCAGGTGATACAAGTTTGCCCAAAAACGTTGCCTCTCTTTTCGTTATGTCACAAAATGGATTCTCGGTCGTTATGTGAGAGAAGCCTAAATCTGCCTTTGGTTTATGTTATGAAGAATAAATTAGTTTCATTTTGATTCATTTGTCTTGAAGGTCTGTTGACTAGTTCTAAGTAGAATAAGTCTTGCTTTCGATTCTTTAGGAAGCAAGTACAAGTTTGTTATGCATTTGTTTCGGTCAATTTGTTGTACGTGACTCCAGTCTATTTAAGTGACTTGTTTATTCTGTTTTCAGTATCAATCAGAGAAGCATTCTCAGTTCTTACTCGTGTTATACAAAAGCTTTTCTGATTGAACATGTTCAGATGTTTAATTATATAAGCATAAATAAATAAAAACTTATTCTGGCGTTTCTTCTGATTGATCATGTAAATGACTTGAAGGCTTGCCTGTGAAATATATAAAGACCAAACATCAATCTTTGCTTTTACTACAAAGATGGTTTATTAATTCCCAAAAAACAATGACCATCATTTTCTTCTTCTCTTCCCAAGTTTTGGTGGAGGAAAACAATTTGTCTGTAAAGTTTCTAATTTTGGAGATTGAATCGTTCATGGGTTTTTGGGGCCAGTATGCGACTGTATCCTTAATGCCCATAAAAGTCCGGTATTTTTCACGAAATGATCCGTGCATTTTCAAAAGTTCAATATTGGTATGTCTAAGTTGTCCCTCAAACTAAATAACACAACACATCAAAGAGAGAACAAATCAAAATCAAACATGAACAAATCATCTCAAGAATTATAAAATATTTATAATCTCAATTTAATTTGTTTTATACATTTATCTCTTGGGAGATTAGGGTCAATGGAGTGAGTAAACCATGATTAATATGCTTTAATTACACGGCTAACAATTAACATTGAGTCAGAGATCAGAAACTCTGGTGAGGAATTGAAGTTGCCGAAGGAGAGGACTAAGAGTCTCCATGAGCTTCTCGCAAGGATGATTGTGAACACCTTCGTAGGTTGTTACGACAACGTTTGGATCTTTTGCCAATCTTTGCACTTGTTTCTTCACGTTGCATGTATGGTATGTACATCTGTAGTAGCTCCTGCAATTTATTTTTGTTGCAAAATACAAATGAATAAATAAATCAATCCACGTATTGTATTTAAGCAATTAAAAAAAAAATTATCTATTATATTAAAACAGAAGCACTTTTAGTGTTTGTTTCCTAAAATTTTATTTAAATATTTTTTAATATATATATATATATATTTAGTTCCAAAAATTAAATATTAATTTAAATAACTAAAAGTTTACTTAAATATAGGTTATATCTATAGTTTATAGATATTAATTTAAATAGACTTCCTTAAATTTAAATTAGATTTAATTAAACATTTAAAATTTAAATAAAATTTTCAGAATAACATATATGATTAACAACTATCTTATTATATTTTTTAATCATATTCTATCAGATTAAAATTTCACATATTGAAAATAGATAAATATTAATATTATATAATAATTTGATGGAACAAGTTAAATTTTTTTAATAATTATGATCTTATGCGGGTTAGGTTATTAAAGCATGCAAAATATTAGGAGAAAATTATTTCAAAATTAATAAATATTTATATTATAAAGTAATATAAACGGACGGGTTAGAATGATCATTTTTGGATTAATAAAATGAACGAGTTAAAAATATATTTTTATAATAACGGTCACTTTTTGATTAATAAAATAACCGGGTTAAAATTATATTTTTATGATCATGGTGATCATAATAATAAAAAATTTTAAAAAAAAATTTTATATCACTTATTAAAAAATTATATTTATAAAGAAAATATAAATATTACAAATTTTGATTAAAAAATTCTTGTGCGGATGCACGGGGTAAAATCTAATTGTTATTTAAAACATAAAATTCATTTCAAAAGTTCATTTCTACTGATGTTGTTAAAAACATAAAAAATGCATTCGTTGTAAAACAGTTTTTTGGTTTGAAATTTTTTGACAACAATTAAAAAAAAAAAAGATATTGTACATTTAAGAAGCTATTGTGCCAGGTTAATATATAAATTCATTTCAAAATCTTACAAAAATGCAGATTCCCAATAATTTCATAGTATATATCGTTGTAATTTTGAGTATTAATTTCTTGAGTTAGTTTGGGACTTTGGGTCATCTGCTGATCTGCGTAGACATCATCTAAACGATAAATATACTAGGCCGGACGAACGGCACAGCCAAATCATGTTTGCTTCATGATCACGGATTCATCAACATATGACACTAATAAATTTAATGTTTTAAGTATCTAATTAATTAATGATAGGTCGCCGAAACATTTTAGATAATTTTAAACTTGTGTCGACTAAAATATGAACCAACAACAACGATTATCCATTGTTAGCAACAATGAGACAAACAGATCCACATTGGCCTGTTAAAAATATGACATAATGATCCTATTATGGGGTATGACATATTTGCTCTATTTTTGGTTATCTATATTCTATACCAATTTAATTTTTGTTAATTTAATTCAGGGACCGGTTGGGATAAACCAATTCGAAATAAACACCCCTGCTAGTTCAAAAGACACGAGCATTAACGTAAAGTAATCGGTCTTACACAATTTGACTTCGATAGTTTAGGTTGTTAAACTAATATTTCCAACCAAGATGGCAAGATATACACGTGACTATTGACCAAGAGTACGTGTGTAAATATATTCTTAGGTTAATTTCGAAATCTACTTTGACGATGTCATATTTTCATCAAAACACATTAATATGTATTAAATGTAAGTAAAAGAAGAACCTGGGATGTGCATTGTTCTTAACAGATTTCTGACCATATTTTCGCCACCGATAACCATCATCAAGAACATCGTCATCACTCCTCGTATGAAATGCAATCCTCTGCATCGTCGACGATCTCATCTTTCCTTTCCCTTTATTTTTCTTATTGTGATCACTTAATACTCCCATTTCCTCCGCGTCTCCTCCTCCTCCTCCACCATGAAAGTTCTCTGGCTGAGCAGACATATGAAAACTCGCCGGAGAACAGGAAGAAGAAGATGGGCCCATATCGCCGGAAAACATTAACGAAGGAGCCATCATCATTAAGGTTTTGTCGTCAAAGGAAGAGAAAGAGTTGTTTTCGCCTTCTTCTAGTGTTAACATTGGGTTTGTGTCAATATCGAACCCTTCCATTGTTTGTAAAAGCTCTCTCTATCTAGATATCTCTCTCACACGCACTATATGTAATTATATATGTGTGTTTATGGATCTATGTGTGCATATCAAGAAGAAAGAGAAGAGAAGAAGGAAGGTTATAAGGATATTTGTAGGGGAGAAAGAAGAAGAATGAGTAAAAGGATTGAGGCCAACTATATTCACCTAACTTTCTGTTCAACTGCCTTAGTCTCTCCTTTTCCTAGCTATATATCTCTTCTTCTCCTTAACAAAGTTTTTGGATCAATATTATTATTTAGAATAATATATTTATACGATACCCTAAAATGTATGTAATATGCCAAATTATTTTAATTGAATCTAAATAGTAAAATATCTCTATCAAAATAGAAAAAAAAAATGAACAGAAATTAAAGTGATTTTGACAACTATATATCCATATGGCAATGTCTCATATAACCAATCAATATACATCTAATTAGTGGTCAAAGTTTCTATTTGATGTCCCAAGACAAAAGGAATGTTTGGTAAAAGCTTAATGAGCTTATACATTTCCATGTAACAGGTAAAATAACAGCGTTCTCTTTCATTTCAAATGTGTGGTTAATTATAGTATAACATTATTGATCTGGTAGATTCCACCGATCGATCAAGTTACGAGTTTTAAAAGTTCATCAAACTTTTATAAATAAAGCGATATAATATGGTCGTTAGATTCACGTTCCCTTTTTGGTTTCGTTTTTGCAAAGTTTCATTCTGAAATTTCGTTCGTCCACGGTCCAGCCATATTAAAGTTAATTATGATAAAAGAAATATATAATTTTTTTATTTTTCAAACTAGTACTAGACATGACTCAAAAAAAAAAAAAAAAAAAAAACTAGAACTAGACTAAACATGCATCATGAAGTCGCTTATAAAATTATTGTTCACGGGCATTTTTGGCCAAAAAACAAACAAAAAAAGTTGAGCACTATATACGGATAAACGAACTTAAGCAAATTATTCTGGTTGTAGTTGTTAAGAATCTCATTTGACCGGTCGAATAAATCCAAATAAAAATTAGCATGATTGTACATATGCAAGCTCATGCATGCACGTGGAAGCTTCTCAGATCATGAACTATTAACTATAATAAATGAAATGTTTAATAGATCTATTTTTTTTTTTAATAAGTATGTGCCTTCTTTTTAAAACGTGATTTTCCGGTTCAACTTATAGCTACATTACTGTAAATATCCTATAATCGAATTATGTGATATTAACTAGCTAGTCTAGTTAATTTAATTACTTTTTTTTTGTTGAAACATCGATGTTTTAAATAAGAACTTAAACAGAGTTTATGGAATACAATTGCAGGGCCTGCTTAGCCAAATTATCTGCCACAAAATCTACCACAACAGAGTTAATTTATTTACTTACGCATCGCTTTATATTGTAGAATATGCAATCGCAATCAATTTTTCAACTTTCGATTATATATTTAACCACACAAAAGAAAGCTTGGATTGCATTTAGGTCTTTATAATAACATTCTGTAACTAAATTAAATTTGCTTAAGTATGACTAAGAGTTAATTTTGTTTTCTTATCAAGAAAAGAAGTTAGGACTACTGTATGAGTTCCGTTGAAGGGTTCATGAACTGCATGCCGGTTTCTTATGCTCGCAACGGCATACAGTTTACTAGCGCTGTTCGTGATTGTGTAATTGGGCCGTACAACGCATCAAGCTAACGCGGCTTTCAAAATATCATCATCAATAAACTTTGCGCGCCTGAAGAATTCAAATCAAATTCACTACAGTTTTCAAAAAAAAAAAAAGAGATTGGAAGCGGAAAAAAATCTCTGGAAATGGAAGAAAATTCATGTCTATCATCCATGAAGTTCTTCTCAGATCAATACCTCTCTTACGCTGATATTCTTCTTCCTCACGAAGTAAGTTTCGCTTCCCATTTTCAAATTCGTGATTTATCTTCCCCCTTTTTTTTGTCGAATCTCGTGGTTCCGATTTGAATTTGAAGATCGTTGTTTACAGGCTCGTGCTAGAATCGAAGTTTCCGTACTCAATCTCCTCAGAATTTTGAATTCTCCAGATCCAGCCATCTCCGATCTCTCTCTGGTACTGTAATTTTCGGCTACTAATCTCCTGATTCCGTTTCTTAAAATCTCATCACTAGATCTTCCCGATTCCGAAATGACTAGAACCAAAAATCGTTGTTGCTTTTGTGTCGTTCTGTTTCCTTTCTCGATTTTTCTGGGTTATGAGATAAAGTTGAAATTCTCGTTTGACAGATCAATAGGAAGAGAAGCAATAGCTGTATAAACCCAGGGATACTCACAGATGTTTCATACATATTCCTCTCTACTTCATTTACGAAGAGTTCATTGACGAATGCAAAAACAGCGAAAGCTTTTGTGCGAGGTAATCTCTCAATGTCTCTTCTATTACTCATCCAAATCCTTTGATTGAAATCATATCAGTCAGAGATTAATGGGTCGTTGTGTTCAAATTTCTAGTGTGGAAAGTTATGGAAATATGCTTTCAGATTCTGCTTCAAGAAAAACGAGTGACACAAAGAGAGCTCTTCTATAAACTGCTTTGTGATTCACCAGAATACTTTTCTTCTCAGATTGAAGTCAACAGAAGCGTTCAAGGTCATTCCAATGTTCCTTTAAAATCATGCTTAATTTAAAGAGATTTTTTTTTTCTCTGAAACATTTATGCTTATGATTTTGTTTCCTGCCTGTGGTTTATACAGATGTGGTAGCACTTTTACGTTGCAGTAGATACAGTCTTGGGATTATGGCTTCTAGCAGAGGCCTTGTTGCTGGAAGGTTATTTATACATGTGAGTAATTAAGCAATCTGTTTTCTCTATGCCGGTTTTGCTTTTTCCGATGAATCCTTGATGTTTTAAGCTAACATTGTGATCTCTGTCCGTTTCTTTTGTTCGCACATAGGAACCAGATAAGGAAGCTGTAGATTGTTCAGCCTGTGGTTCTTCAGGTTTTGCAATTTCAGGAGACTTGAATTTGCTAGACAATACTATCATGAGAAGCGATGCTCGGTACATCATTGTTGTGGAAAAGGTATAGTCATTGGTCTAATCAAGGACATATAACATAAATGTAATCGTTCATATAAGTCACTCCTAGATCTGTTTTCAGCATGCGATATTTCATCGGCTTGTGGAAGATCGCGTGTTCAATCACATTCCTTGCGTATTCATCACCGCAAAAGGGTATCCGGATATTGCCACAAGGTCAATCTTTTAACTCAGATAACAAAACCATGGTTGCAATGTATGCAGACACTGATATTGAGCTTGGTAGTTGAATGTTTTTAGGTTTTTCCTTCATCGGATGAGCACAACTTTTCCTGATCTGCCAATTCTTGCTCTAGTAGATTGGTGAGCATAAATGAATATCGTCCTCTTTGTATAGATAATATTTTAGTTGCTCATAATATCAAACTGAGAGGTCTATTAAATTTTATAAGGAATCCAGCTGGGTTAGCTATACTATGCACCTTCAAGTTTGGAAGCGTAGGAATGGGTCTTGAAGCTTACAGATATGGTAAAAACTAAAAAGACCCACTGTTTGCAACAAATAATCCCACAGGTCTCTGTATTAATAGTTTTTGCTTTGTCTTAGCTTGCAATGTGAAGTGGATTGGGCTGCGAGGAGATGATCTGAATCTGATACCAGAAGAGTCTTTGGTTCCCTTAAAGCCAAAGGACTCACAGATTGCTAAAAGCTTATTGTCCTCCAAAATCTTGCAGGTAACTAACTAACTAACTATACATTATAAAGCAGAAATCAGTAGTAATGTTCAATTGGAAGCAAATATGTTGATTGAAAGTTCCAAGATTCGAATTACGTAATTTACGTATTCAAAATTCAAATCAATTTCGACTTACTTTTCTGATCAGGAAAACTACAGAGACGAGTTGTCAATGATGATTGAAACTGGTAAGAGAGCTGAAATTGAAGCTCTGTATTGCCATGGTTATGATTATCTGGGTAAATATATAGCCACCAAGATCGTGCAGGGCAAATACATATAACAATTCAGACACCAATATGTAAGATCTTCCCCCAAAGACCAAACCAACAAAAAAAGTGTTTTTTCCTTTCAAATCGATTATTATATGAAAGCGATTACGTGAAGTTTTATGAAAATTCATAGAATGTATAAATAGATTACAAACAAATCAAAATTTCCGAATGATAAGGATTATCTTTGTTATACATACGGAATGGTGATGATTTAGTAACAAAACTTGTCCTAATCTCCACTGTCCTATTCAGGAATAATGATAGTTCCAACAAATATAGTTCTCACTTCTTTTTTGATACGAGACTGATCTTCTTTCCCTCCACAACAAACTTCCCACTTCGCTCCAGCTGTAACAAAGAGGTTACAACAACATCAGTAAAATTGACATGTTTTTTACCTTTCTATAATGAAAGATGAGAAAATCCTCTAATAAAATGATTTATTTTACTAACTCCACCATCACGTTTCATTATTCTCACATCCGATGAATTTCTATCTCAATGTAACCAAGCACAAGAAGTAATAGGAGAGATTGGGAATAAGATAAGCTAAGATTTGTATTTACCTTAAGTTTCAAGTAAGCAATAGCATCTTTGCTTGAAGAGAATTCTGAGAGAACTGATGGTGCTTGTTCATCAATTAGAGATTTAAGCTGTTTCATCTTCATAGATCCACCACGACCAGCATCCTGAGAATGTGTTTGCACATTAACAAGTATGAGGAATATGGATGACAAAGATAAGACTGTTCAAAGCAAATTGTCAACATACCTTCCTAAGAATCTCCTTGCACAGTTTCTTTAACTTGATTTTGGGTTCAATGATTTCATCGTGCTTCCTTTTTGCTGGGAGAGTATTTTGGACAAGAGAGCTGTCTTCACTATCTTCCTCATTCTCGTCTTCTTCCTCTTCCTCATCATCATCATCATCACTGTTATCAAAGGACGTCTTCTTCCCTTGGTAACGAACACCGGCTATTTTCTTCGGTCGGTCTTTGATACCCAGTCCTTGTTTTCCAGCCGTGGCTTTATCCTGCAGACATTTCACGGTTTAAGCTACAAGATCCCAACCTCTTTTCCAATAACACCTTGCAAAGAAGAGTGGTTGGGGGAGACAAACACACATACCTGAACCAAGTTGTAGAGATTCTCTTGATCGTCCTCACAAAACATTCTTCTCTCATTAGTCTTCGATGATTTCTTTTTGCCAGACTTGGCACCAAGAAGACCGCCTGAGACAAACCCAGATTTAAATCCCCACCAGTCTGAAGAAGGTTCTTCGATTTTCTGTTCTGTTCAGTCCAAAAGATCCATATGTTTTCAGCTCAAAGAACAAAAAACAGCGAAAAGTCGCACCATTTCAAGAGTAAAGGTCACCTTTAACACTAGCATCTTGGTCCTCAGATATAATTTCAATCTCCATAGTATCGGCTATGTCACAAACCACAGGAGACGGTTCCTCAGTTCGCTTAACCTACAAAACAGTAAATAACGTAGACTATCACTTTCATAATGTGGTTTGTTTATATAATGGTTATAGCAGAAAAAAAAATCATGATAATATGCACAAATTAACAATATCTAGAAGTTATGAAGTTATGAATATCCTGCTCACGAGCAGATAAAACAAGGAGAGTGGAAAGCAAGCTTACCAATATTCCTTCAAGATCTTTAGACGAGTATGAATTGACACGCTTCCCTTTCTCTCTACGTTGATACCTAAACCCATGAAAAACTCAAAAATTAAAACACCATACATATTTGCCAGAGAGGGCTGATAAGAAAATTAAAAAAATCTAACAACCTTCCTTGTGGACGAGTGACTTTTGCAACGGTCTTAGACTTGGCAGGCTCAGATTTGGAAGCATCGTCTTCACTTTCCGCTTCCTTCTCTGAATCTGGCGTATGCCACAGAAACAAGAATCATAAGGAAAATTAAACTTCCATAATCAAGAAAGAGATTAAGTTAACAAGAAGTAATGTTACCATCATCATTCTTGCTAGTCTTGGTAGGTGCTGCTTGCTGCAATTAGCATCCAGAAAAAGAAAAAAAGTTGAAATCATTTTCGATTTTTCCAAAAGTTCATAGATAAAACGAAAGATGAACACAGCCATTACCACTTTCAATTTCTTGAGAATGTTATCGAACTGAGTTGTATCAAATGCCCATGGATTCGGCTTATCAACACCAACACCTGCTCCCAATTCAAAATTTTTAGTCCTCTACATGAACTATAGATTTATATGCATCTACATAACACACATTCCCCCAAAAGAAACAGAACATTATGATTATGTTTTATTGGTGTATAAGTTGCAAAGTAGTTTTATTTCAGTCTCCTCTATCATAAAATTGCACAGCTTCACATATACATCAGGCAATAGAGAGAATTAAAAAGAAGTAAGAAGAATGAAACGAACCAGTTGTATCTTGCTTGTTCTTCACTCTTACATAGCCTTTGATCCCTTGCTTATCTTTACCAAGTCCTTCTCCTTCTTCCCAGCCCTAAAAAAATCAAAATTACAAAAAAATTAGGTCTTTACAGAATTTTCTAAGCTTAGATCATTTAGGAGAATTTAACTCACCATCGATTTCATAAGCCGGAAGGCGGCGGATTCCTTGAGGATACCGACATACTTAACCGGAGCTTCCGGCGCCGACATCTTCTCTTCCTAATTTCCGGCGATCGATTGCAGACAATCCGTCGCCGTTTAGTTGGAGCTCAAAAGAAGAGTTGGCGAGGGAGTTTAGGGAAAGCTGGGAAGAGAAATTAAACCTAAAGCGGAAGAAGTGATGAGCAATTATACTCTACAACGCGGCCTTTTGTAAAGTATCCTGTAAGGCATTTGATCGACGGTAGAGATCTAATCAAATTTAAATGGGCTAGTATAGGCCCAAACAAGTATTCAAAAATCTCTGCACCTAAAAGCCCAGCTTAAAGCTTCTTTTACACTTACGTTGCTGCACAAAATTTACAACTGAAATTTGGCAGTTTGTCTTGAAATTAATATTTCTCAAAATGTAAAAATATTACTTAGCAAATAAATTGATATAGAGCCAAAACAATGTAACAAAAAGAATTTGCTAGTAATTTGTGAGTTAGTACAAGAAAAATGTGACAAATTTTTTTTTGAAATTTCCACCACTTAATTTTTTTGGTAAAATATAATGGCGAATTGAGTGAGGGAGAGAAATCACAGAAGAAATGGCTATGGCTACTTCTACTCAGCTATCTTCTTCGTCTTTGTTTCACTCTCAAATTACCAAAAATCCACTCCTTCTTTCGGCGACGACGATCAGAGGCTATGGTTTCTCTATACGGAGGCCTATCTCTCCCTCGTTATCGCGTCGTGCTTCAATCTCAGCTTTGGCTGCGTCTTCCGCCGTCGGCGTCAATGAACCGGTGACTTCAGGGAAACCAACCAGAACTCTTCCGTTTCGAGTCGGTCACGGTTTCGATCTGCACCGGTTGGAGCCAGGGTACCCTCTGATCATCGGCGGCATTGATATCCCTCACGATAGAGGCTGCGAAGCTCACTCCGATGGTGAAATTTCCCGGAATTCGATTAGTGAACTCTATCTTTTTGATTCCATTGGATTTTAGTTTATAGATTATAGGTTTTTTATTTGAATTTGTGAAACTTGTATTGGTTCAGGGGATGTGTTGCTCCACTGTGTAGTGGATGCAATTTTGGGAGCTTTAGGGCTTCCTGATATCGGTCAGATTTTCCCAGATTCTGATCCTAAATGGAAAGGAGCTGCATCATCCGTCTTCATCAAAGAAGCTGTAAGCTTTCAGTTTTGTGTGAAATTGTGTGTATGCAGAGATTCCCTTATCACTACCAACTTAGGTTATAGCTCTGTCTTTAAGCCTGATTTTGTCTGCGGTATTTTATAGAAAGGTTCGGACTTTCAAGTATGATTCGTAGGTTGATGGAAATTACTTAGTTTTCAAGCTGTTGATTAGTGGATATCAAAGTTCTGTAATACTCTTGACTCTTGAGTATAATCTTTTAACTTATAGAGGGAGTAGACAAGATATGGAGAAAAGAAAAATCTTGCAAAGTCTTGGCATTACTCAAGTTTAGATTAGGTTCCTGCTTATTGTGTTGATGAATTATAGAATAATCTCGTATTCTTACCATTTTCTTGGTGACAATACACAGAATTGATGTTAATTATGGGTACTCGAGTTTCTTTCATGTCTGCCCTTTTAGATTATGGGTCAGGTTTAGTGTAATATATTTCGTTATGATTGACTGTGAATGTTTGATTGCATGGAAGCTAATGTAAATCAAGCTATAATATTTGAATGATGGTCACTTGTAATTAGGTGATGTAATCAGTTATAATGAGGTTATGGTTATGTGGATCGAACAAAATATCAGCTTCTTGTCGGATATGAAGAGTGATTCAATGAACTTGAAACAAGGTTTTGTTTGGCTTTATGTTTCAGGTGAGACTCATGGACGAGGCAGGGTACGAGATAGGAAACCTAGATGCTACATTGATTCTACAGAGACCAAAGATAAGTCCACACAAAGAGACGATCCGATCCAATCTGTCCAAGCTTCTAGGTGCAGATCCTTCTGTTGTGAACCTAAAAGCTAAAACCCACGAGAAAGTTGATAGCCTTGGAGAAAACAGAAGCATTGCAGCTCACACTGTTATTCTCCTCATGAAGAAGTGAGTCAATTTTATATCATATTCCTTATATGTATCAATCTCCTAAAGAAACACTTTTTATTGTAAATTTTTAATGTAATCATCCTTTAGACTTTAGAGGTTTATTATCCCTTCTTAGAACAGTAAAATCGAATCATGTGATGATGATACATTGAAGTGGAAAAATGATTCTGGTTTCTTTGTCAGTTTTGAATTATGACTTTTTTAGCTGGAAGCTTCTTGTGACGCAATTTTCTACGTCTGTCATTTTCATCCTCAGACATTTCATCACATGAAAAACTGTTATATTTTTGTTGATCTATGTATCTTGTTGATGTGTATGTGTGTGTGTTTTCAAAATACATATCTTTTTATCGAAGTATACATTAGAATTTACCACATAATTATTTTGTTGAATATCATACGAAGTGTTCTCTCTAGCTAACAATGCTAATTGCTCACAGGAACGCCTACTAATTTATGTGAAAAAGATAGTGATATGACACACAGAAAAAACTTAAAACATCTTAATAAACGCTAACTAATCAAAACAAACAAAACAACTTAAACATCTTAACATCATGATCAAATCTAAAATATCCTTACTTCAATTCTAATATCAGAACATTACCATATGCCTTTTTTTTGTTTCTCTTGAATCTCTTAAGAGATTATACATCCATGGGAATTGTTGTCATGATCGTATACACTAACGTGATGATACATAGGAGGAGGACCACAAAGAGACTGATTTCCACGGTAAGCCTCGACTTCCTTACGTTCACTTTCTTCCTTCTTCTTCTTTTCCGCAGCGGCAGCGGTTTCAGCTTCTTTTTTCGGATCGTAAGGTCCAAATGTTGCCATTTTAGCATTTCTCCATCTGCTTTCGAGTTTGGTAAGAATCTTCCTGATGTCGAACTCTCCAATCACCGTTAATTTCCCATCTTTGGAGTCCATAGTGATCGTTGTAATCCCTAAAAGAAAAAAGAACGTTTCAGATTTAGGAAGATCTTTAAAAGGGAGCTTTTTGGGTTTCAATTCATAACTTGTTATAAAAAAAAATCCAAAAACAGAGCTAAGTGTAATTCAAAGCTTTGCAAAAAAATTAATGAACAAGAAAAAGTCAAGTTCATTAATTTTTTTTAATACATAACCCATGAAGGATCCCAAAAACAGAGTGAATGTGTAATTATCAGCTTTTCTGTTTTTTTAATACATAAAATTCATGAACAAGACAAAAAATCACATTTTCTTTTGTTTGGTTTCAATTCATAACCCCAAAAAAATCCCGAAAACAGAGTAAATGTGGGTAATCAAAAGCTTTGTTGTTCAATAAAACTCATTAACCAGACCAAAAAAAAAAAAAAAAAACAGATCCATTTTTCATCGGTTCCAATTCATAACCCATAAATAATCCCAAAAACATAGTGTATTTATAACTAAAAGCTTTTTTTTTTCTTTTTGAGTGTAACTAAAAGCTTTGTTTTTGCAATAAAAACTCATGATCAAGAAAAAGAATCAAATTCACCATTTTGGGGTTACAATTCATAACACATAGAGAATCCCAAAAACAGAGTATGTGTTTTCAAAACTTTTGTCTTTTCAAAAAAAATTCATGAACAAGAAAGAGAATCCAATTCAACTTTTTGGAGTTTCAATTCATAATCCATAAAGAATCCCAAAAACAGAGAGTGTGTGTACTCAGAAGTTTTGTCTTTTCAATAAAATACTCATGAACAAGACAAGAATCAAAGAAAAATACTTTCATAGTTTGATGTGAATTACCTGGACAGCTAGCAACTGTTCTGATGATTCTCCCTTTTGATCTCTCATCGTAACAATCCATCATCACTACCATCTTCTGCATAAAATGTAAGAAAAAAAACACCATTAATCTACTAGTCCTTAATGAACTAAATAAAACACCTACATTTTCTGTCGAAAAAAAAAAACATATTACCTTCATTTTCTGTGTAGAGAAGAGCAGAATATTGAGAGGAAATAAAACAAAAAAGGTCGGTGGTTTTTACTCCAAAATGAAACAAGTCGATTCTTTTATACCAATAACAAACCGCCTCATGAAAGGGGTTTAGAGGAAAAAGGAGAAGACGAAATATAGGAATTATGAATTTCACACGCGCCTTTCACAAATACCAAATTGTTTATATCAAGAGCGTGAAAATCACTTTCGAGAAGTGGGTGTACGTGGGATTTTTCAGCTTCATTTTTTCTGTGTTCTTCTGTGTTCTTTGGCATTTTCTACTGTTATAATGGCAAATGATAGGTGAGGTCGATTATTATTATTAATCGTTTCTTTATTTAGTAACTAGCATTGCGAACTTTTTATTTTGTCAAAGATTCTTCCAAGGTCTATTGATAGTGCCACATATCATCATCCCATATTTTTTGCATTTTTTAATTATTTATAAACACTTTTGTTTGCATTTTGCAATCTTCCCTAGTAAACAACGAAAACAAAAAGAACGAGAAAAACTCCGAAAAGCCTTTTTTAAAACATATGATAAAGGTTTCAAACGAGAAGAGTTTATGGTCTTTGGGAGTTATATGATAAAAAAAAATTCTATTCAGTCTGTTCAACTTAAGCAGTACGTTTGTGTATTACATAAACTGATAAAATCATAAAAGAAGTAACGAAAAAAGTAAATATGGTTTGTAGGCTCGACAATATACAAGTTTTTAGTTAATTTTTTGTTTCGTTTAATAATTTCACCATTCCATTTCATATATTTATTTGATTTTCTACGATTTTACAACATTACTAAATACTAACCATGGTAAACCCCTCCAGCGAACTTCCCCATGGATCATAAACAGATAAACATTTTAGGGACGGTAAATTACTTTTATCTAGCTAGTAAAATAACTTTGAACGGCATGACTATCATACTGTATGAATTTACGAGGAACAAACTCTCTCTTTATTTTTGAACTTCTCGGAACAAGCTCTCTAGTGAGCAAAATATTATTTCTCAAAAAGAGGCAATAACTTATTCGTGCGGATTATTGACAACAGTGCTCTCTATAAATCACTTTTCCATGAAAAGATGAATACTCTCACCGAGAATAAAGATGTTGCTTTCTTTTATCTGAACCCAAAAGCTAAAATCCAATGAACCCCTCTCTCTTTCTCTCTAACTCTGTAGAGCGGCTTGAGCAATCTCGAGGGCTTCTTCGACTGAAGATGCGCTGGCGAGTTTAGCCTTATCGACTATTGGTTGGCTTCTTGCTAGCTTTGGGAGAAGCTGAAACTCCTGTGTAAGAAATAATACACAACAATGCAAGATACTATTAAACCAAATATAACTTTTTATATAAATTCATGAACAAACCCATATGTAATATGCAATGGTCCAGATTCATATGCTTGATTGGCTGGTTCAGGATGTTAGTGAGGGAGTGGCTAAGAAAGACGCTTACCTCGGGAGAACCGCTTTCTACAAGAACACCTTTTAACCTGCCTGTAATACGATAATTACTCATCAAAGTTAGTTAATTAGCTAAGCTGTGTGTAATCTTGCAATGGTCAAGAATCGGAAGTGAAATGAGAAAAAAAAGTTCGAATGCATGATTTACCAGAATCAATCCAGAATGTAGCGATTTTCGGGTCGAAGTTCCCAACCTCAACTGTTTCTCCCACTGGCCAAATATGAATCAGTGGTTTAGTTACAGTGGAAATATTGTCTGAGTAATTGGATTGTCTACTATTCAGGTTCTAACGAGATTTACCATTATCCCCAAAAAACTGCCACCAAACTTTTCTTGAGCTGCCTTCATACTCGAATACTCTCGAGTAGAAATACGGGAGATAATCGTACCTGCAGTGTTTTGAACAAGAACAGGAACTAATAGGTGAAGATCTGTTGAGAGATAAACGCAAGTCTACAGATCTTTCCAGGGTAGAAGAAGCTTACGTGTCAGTGTGTGCAGTGAGCAGAGATTTCACACAGTGTTGTGCAGAACGGCGGGCGTGATCAACATGTTCAACTCGGGTCATACGATCATATATCTGTTTCATCAGATAATAACAGGATGAGTTTTTACCAGGCCAAAATATTGGTGGCTTTAACATGTTGTATCTAACAGCAAAGTACCTTCAAAGGGAAGGCTGCGACATCTCCAATAGCAAAAATTCCAGGGGTACTTGTCCTGAACAAGCCATCGACCTGTGGTTGAAGATAAGATTTTGTCAGACTTTTTGATTGAAAGAAAACAATTCTCGTGGAGTTGAGAAAATTTCGAAAACCAATTATACTTGGAAACTAAATCAGGATGTATTGTGATAACATTACCTGAATTCCTCCAATAGATTTGTTCATGGCCAAAGTTTCAAAGGGGCCAATAGCAGGCTTAGCTCCAATTCCGATCACTACCTGTAGAGTAAGAATACACAGGTTGTACAGCGTTCATTGACATTAACAGTTTCCATTTGATCAGATTACTGAAGTTGCATCATTTGAGAAAAGAAAAAGTGAAGCTGAGTTACAACTATACCGTGTCTGCCTCAATGGTAGATCCATCAGCAAGCTTAACAGCTGTTACACGCCCATCTGAACCTGCTTCTATGTTATTTATGGAAGCGCCCTATTCAACAGAAGGAATGAACTTTAAGTTTACTCAGTGTGTTTCTGAAATTCTTAGGTTTGCAGGAAAACAAAGGCTTTAGTCTAAGGCATTGATCGTGGGTTCATATCTTACCTTAACAAACTTAACACCATTTTGACGGTATAGTTCTTCGTATTTCTGAGCAAGGGATGGAGTGAACAGTCTTTGCAAAAGCTGATCTTCGGGGAATACAATCTATCATTGCACAAGAGAAAGACCCAAAAGCAGCTGTAAGTTATTATTATATTCATGCGAAAATGCAACTTTTGCACCACGCACATTGCATGAGTGTCTGTCTTGCATATTATCTGAACGCTTCCAGGAATTTTGTTTTACTGATCGAATGACTAATATATACCTCATACTAACACAATCTAAAGATTAAAGTCAACGGAATACTAACCGTTGTATCTAGGTTCCACGCAACAGCTGCAGCAGCAACCTCCATGCCGATGTAGCCACCACCAACAATGACAACTTTCTTTGCCTTTCCCTGAATCATATATTGGAAGGTTATTTTGTCGCCAAGGGAATTTAGAGTTTCCTGATGACGCATAGTGTGACATTTGATAGAGATGACATAAGAATGCTCTTAGCTTACCAAAGATGATATCAGTGAATCAGCATCTGCAACCTCCCGAATATAGTGAACTCCAGGCAAGTTCCCGCCAATTTTATCAGGGAGCCTGCCATACAAATTGAAAGCAGAAATTTAACACATCAATGGAGAAGATCAAGTAGAAATTGAAAGCTTCTCTGAAGTTATTTATTCAATTCATTGGAAATAGAATGTCACTTCACTCACCTTGAGGCTGTACACCCTGTGGCGATAATGAGGGATCCATATTTTAACTGCTTCCCTGTGTTTGTTGTGAGGGTTTGCTTTTCAAAATCAGCTCCAGTCACTGGATCTTCATATATCATCTGTTGAAACCAAATATATTTGGTTTAACACGAGAAGACCACAAATGTAGATTCCAAATTGGAGAAATGAACAAACTGAAGACTCCTGACTTACATACACAGATTATGGAACAACACAAAACCATGAATCAGGAGAAGAATTACCTCAATTCCTTTCTCCTTGTACCAATCTGGTGTTTGCCTCTCTCCACCACCTCCAACACAAGTATGAAATCCCTGCACATTATAGACAGAACACACAGATCACATAACTAAACCATACAAATCTTCGAACTAGAAACAAGCCTAACGCTGTACAAAAATCTATAGCCCATTCAATAACACTAATTAAACCGCTCATATTGATATCAAATCAAACGTTATTGAAGCAACGGTTATTGGTAGGCTAAGCTTACTGGTAAACGAGCAGGCTTCTTCTCTGGAGGGAACAAGTAAGCTTTCGTCAAAGCCGGTCTCTCATAAGGTGCGTAAGCCTAAATGAAAACAACAACAACAACAATCACATACAGATAAACAATCAAAGAGAGTAAAACCAAGATTCGATACTCATATTGAAAACACTCGTCGATCGATTTTGGTTCACCTCTTTGGTCACAATGCAAAGGCGACCATCAGCCATTCCATTTTCTACGAAAGTCCTAGCAGCATAACCCGCAGCATTTCCTCCACCAATTATCACAAACCTACAAAATTACGCGATCCCAAAACTCAATTCGCATACAAATTCCTCCACCCAAGGAACAAAAAATTTGGAAGAATTATTATACTAACTCGCGATTCTCGTTAGCGAACGAAGCAGTGACGAGGCCTCTGGAAGCGATTCTAGAACCGATCGGAGAAAAACGAGCGGGAAAACGGCGAACGAGAGACGAAGAAGTCGGACACCAAAGGGACAATCCGGTCTTCGTCGGCAACGCGGTGGATGCTAACGCCATGGCTCTACGAACTGCAACAACAGAGCGATTAGAGAAGAGAGAGAGATTCGATCTAGGAATTGAAATCGAGGAGGAAGGTGGTGTGAGAGTGAGAGAGAAGACCTGGAGACATTTGTTTATAAGAAGAGGCAGAAAACAGATAAAAGTATTGAAAACAAGTGCGAGTCTGCAGTGTTGGCTGGCTCTATATCAAAGCTAAAGGTCATAAAAGGTTAAAGAGAGTTTTAGTTTGAAATTGTGAAAGAGAGAGATGATTATTGTAAAGATGGGTAGTGAAGAATGGAGCTGACTTGTCTTCTTGTTATTCATTTGTCCTTTTGTATCGAAAATAAATTACAAGAGAAAGATATTTTATTTCTGACATATAGATATTTTTGACAAAGAA